CAAACAAAAGCTGAATTAAGTGTGTCTGTACTGGTGTAATTGAGAGGAGCCTATTAACATTCACAGGGGACAGGCAGAAACTTGATGGCACCCCCATCCATGCTTTGGTTTTAGGCCCTTGCTAGGAAATTTGCTTCCAACAGAAGCTTGTTCTGGGAGCTTTGGGACTGTGCATTAAACTAGGTTTTGCTATTTTATCATGCTTTCTTTTAAGAAAACAAAAATCAACTGTTTAATTTAAGGAGCTTTGTTAGAGTTTTGTGTCCAGATGAAATTCTGAGTCTCTCTGGTTTGACTCTGTCAACATCAGTGACATGAGCCAAGAGCTATGAGGGAGAGCCAGGTTGTCTCCTGGAGAGCAGGAGTTGAGGTGAGAGAGGGTGGGGAGGGTCTATCTGCCTTTTGAGTGTGTACAAGTTTGTGTACATAACAGTGTGATGGGAACTGATGGATGGGAGATGGTTATATTTAAGTTAACATGTACAATAGTAGGCAACAAACGCTTCCTTGAAAGATCGCACAATGACCTCCAGTCATCGCAGGTGGATGCTGAGGTCTGAGGGAGGGTGAGTGGACTCCTTGATAAGGAAGGAGGAGGAACAGGAGAGGAGGTGGGGGGAGGAGGGGGCTCATTCAGAACAGCTGAAGAAAGTGAGGGAGGTGGGAGGAAGATCGGAGGCAGGGGTGGTCCTAACATGACATGCATGTCAGTCTGTTGAAATGCATGTGTCGCCCTCTTTTGTGTTCATTCTGACTGAGAAGCGCTGGAAGAGTGGGAGAGAGAGAGAAGGACAGCATCTGCCCTCTGAGTTCAGTAGTAAAGACAGAGCCAACACAAAGAAATAGATCCCCTAGATTTTGATGAATGTGCAGGCAGGAGAAACAATACAAAGGCAAAATACTGTGGAACACTTTTTTATCATCAAATCTTTTGGTGTTTTTATTTTTGTAACTTTTTTGAAGAAAAGATTTTTGGACTTTTGCCAATGCTTGGAACAATTACTTTAACAGGTAAGAACAATAATTCTAACAATGACATTTTAACAAACGGAGTTCTCATTGTTTTAAAGATGTTTGCACCAAACAATTTGTTGGGTTTAAACCTGACATTTGGTACTTTTTGCTAGCTTTTTAGTCATTTATTTAGGATGTATTGAAAACCAAATCAAGAGGAGTGCAGCTGAAGGCATTGTTGTCCAGAGGGTGTGGTTGGTTAGCGTTGTGGTTTGTAGTTGTCCCGGCACGGGTGAGTGATTTCAGATGAAGACGTGTTAAAAGTAAAATCTTGTTTAAATGCTGTAGCGTTCTCTCATTTAATGAAGTTTAAACTTTAGACCTGTTTTTGAGCTCCAATCATCAGGTTTTCATTCATCACTCTGTCCTGGTATTTCCTACAAAGCATCCCCCTTTGATAGGAGCTCTGTAGAAACCTGTTTGTTTTCTGTACTAACTAACACCATTCACAGCGTTGGAGCTACTGTGTGTAGCCAAAACCAGCTGCTGACCACCTTCAGCTCTGAAGTATACATCCCATGCAACTAAAAAATTCACACAGTGACAGCTGCCAGACAGAAGTCCATGTAGATACGTTCTCAGAAATATTTTCCCAGTCTGCTTTTAGCTCATGTCACCCTCCAAACCAGCTCCCTGTGTCCTGTCATGCGAAGTATTTCATTAGATTAGAGTGGGAT